GGCGGGTCGGGAGAGGGGCACGGGAGAGGGGCGCGGGAGAGACGCGCGGCGGGCCGGGAGAGGGGCGCAGCGGGCCGGGAGAGGGGCGCGGGAGAGAGGCGCGGCGGGCCGGGATGGGGGTGCGGGAGAGGGGCGAGGCGGGCTGGAGTTAGGGCAGTGAGTTAGAAGGGGCGGGGCAGGGGAGAGGGAGGAGTCACGGACATACTCAGCTCCCCAGCCGGGCGACAGGTGGATGATGCACCCCCCTCACCCCCCACCCCAGTCGGCTTAGGTAATGCTGGGAAAGAAGGAGGAAAGGCCAGAGCTGGCATATGAGGGGTAGTGAGCGGAAGAGGGGGCGCTGGCCTTGATTTTCTGGGCCTCCCAGCACATCACCTCTCTGCTCCCGCACCAGGCCCTTGTTCCCCTCATTCCTCTCCAGGGCAAAGCCGCTTTGGAGAACCTCTTGCCAGCACCAGACACCTACCTCTACTGAGCCTGAGGGAAGTCACCCAGCAGGGGGGAGTGACTCCTCCCCTGAGGTCAGCACGGAGACCCTGTCAGGAGTCATTGGGCTGGGGCAGGACAGGCAGGGCCACCGGAAGCACGTGGTGCAGAGGGGAGACTGCTAGACAGCTGGCTTTGGAAGGTCAGTGGGTCAAACAGGCCTGCTTGCTCATCTGGAGTGTGGCCACAGGTGTTCTCTGAGGGCAGCTGTGCCGGGTGGGACCAGGGTCTGAACAATGACATAGACTTGGAAAGAGACAGGCCACCCCCTCATCTACACAGAGCCATTGACTTTTCAGAGCACTTCTATACCTTCTACCCCACTGTCATGGTTTGAATTGTGTTCCCCCAAAAATGTGTGTATCAACTTGCCGGGGTCATGATCCCCAGTATTGTATGATCATGTACCATTTTGTAATGACATGATTTCCTTATGTGTGGTAAACTCTATCACTATGATGTGATAAGATGGATTAGCGGCAGTTATACTGATGAGGTCTACAAGATTGCGTAGCGTCTTAAGCCAATCTCTTTTGAGACATAAAAGAGAGAAGCGATCAGAGACACAGGGGAACCTCATACCACCAAGAAAGCAGTGCTAGGAGCAGAGCACGTCCTGGGAACTTGAGATGCTCTCAGACCAAGGGAAGACTGATGCATCACGAGGACCTTCCTCCAGAGCCGACAGAGAAAGCCTT